TGTGTGTGTGTGTGTGTGTGTGTGTGTGTGTGTGTGTGTGTGTGTGTGTGTGTGTGTGTGTGTGTGTGGGGGGGGGGGAGTGTGTGGAGTGGAGGTATAGACTGAAATTTATCTCAAATTGTGGAGTATAGTGCTCCCTTGTGGTGGCTGTCTTGTGTTTAAATGATGGTTTATTATTTCCAGAGAACCCTTTATCATAAGTTTTGGATAAGTTTAACTTCTCTGCCTACAAGTCAAAAAGCCGTCTTGGCCAACTCAATCAATAAACTTTTGCATTTATTGTTTTACCTCTTAATGAAGACAGTCTTTCTCTGGTGTAACAATTTCATTATCATATTGTCAAAATCTGACCTGCCCTCTCCACCCTTAGCTTGAGTTGAAGTCGCATCCTCGGGTTTTGAAAAATGAAGCCAATGCGCAAGAGTAAAAAAAAATGTTTGTATACTCATTCCTTTAAATGTATGAGTCACTGTAAATCAATAAAAAAAGTTGTTCTGAGTGTCCTTATCCTCTAATGCATTATTCTCCTTGATGTCTCTCCAGGCTGACAAAGCCCCAATCCACAGAGCATAGGCGGTCAATAAAGGGTTTGATGATGTGTATACAAATGATGTGAATCAGACTGCTTCCTTTACAGTCCCCAGATTGTTACCTCTAGAAGACTTTTAACCAATGTTTTTGATTCTGTTCTGCGACACCATCTTTAAAACACCACGGGGTAGTACTGTATATTATGGAAGAATGGTTTTCAGCCCTCTAAAGTCTTAGAGCCATGTAAAATCCATAACAAGACAAATTAAACAAACTCTCCTATGGTTTGCAAGCCTTTGGAAGAAAAAGTTTGGTTTTGTCAACCAAAGGCCATATTTAAAATAAAGTCAAACCATCAATTATGTATTCTCATTATTGACAAAGAAAACATAGGCTACTTGTCTGTCATCATCCACAAGTTACTCAAGGGATTTTTTATTATTTAGTTGTTAATTATTGTTCCATATTGATACAATCCTGTGTTTAAGCCCTGTCACAGAGGACCTCACCTAAAAACTGAACTGGAATTTTTTTTGGGACTGCTGGATTCTTTGAGCAATGATTTTGCGAAAGACAGAAAGATAAAAACGTTTTATAACTGAACTATATTTATTTTAGTATCATACTCTAGATGTTGTTAAAATCTGTCGCTAGTGTTCCTTACATACAAGAAAGAATGCAAATAGTTACCATTACTTTCACATGTCAACAAACGTGATGCTGATAGCAGTGACAATAAAAATCCCCGTCCATCATCCTGAAAACGATACCTTTGCGTCCTTGATGAAGGTATGCTCTTCGACCCCCTCGAAAACGAGATGGTTCAAGTCAAGCGGCTATCCATCAATAAACAGAATTTCTCAGCAAATCAGTCCTGCAAAGACAAGATGAAGGCATTCATGTTCCCAACCCGTTGCTTCAGTCTGGCTGCATCAATCACCTGAAGGACAACCACAGAATTTCATTTCATTTTAAATCGATGGGTGAAGTCCAAGCTAAGCAAAGTATTCAATTTCGTCAGGGAATAGTTCCTCAACAATTTGATCCTGCTTTGTTTTTTGAGGGGTTAAAATTAAAACTGTAAATACTAAAGATTGAAAAATCGCAATAAGAAAAAACAAAAAATGTAATCAACAAACAACATAACACATTATGAATGTTCTATTTATGTAGAGAACCTTTTGATAAAAAAAGAAGTTAATAGAGACAATTTTTATAGTATTGATTCATGTTCATGACAAAAATAAAAGGCAATATGGTTTCATAAATATGCTGTATGTTAGTGCTGTAAATAGTGTGAGTGTGATGGACACAGCCACACAGTAAAAGGTTGTAGGCCGCACAACTCACCACAACACTCGCATGTTTTTATTTGCAGCCATTTAAAAGAATAACACAGGTTATGAGTTTGGTTTAGCATTTGTTTATTAGAACTTTTGATTTAAGTACACAAAGGGGATTTATTTTGTCATTGTTTGTTTACTAAGTAAAGTTATATTAATATCTCTTCTCTTTTGAGTTACCTGGCTGATGTGCTCTCCTTCCTGGTTTGAACAAAGGATGAGGCTGAGGGTGGGGGTTTAGTCCTCCCCTGTGTGTTGGTTTTGGTTTGGTCAGGTGGCTTAAATATCCCCCTCAGTTCTCGTTTAGTTAGGTCTGTTAGTGGAGTTCTTATCTTGTTCAGTTAGCATAAGTTTTCAGTAGAGTTATATTATTTTGACAACTACACAAATTCTCTCCCTGTACATTTTGATTGAGTTATTTTTGGTTTGCTTTTGTTAAAATCATTTTTGAATAAAGAAACCAGATTTTTTAACCTTTAACCTGTGTTCGCTTGCCTTGCCTGCTTTGTCCACTACAGTGAGTTACACCTTTGTCTAATTAAACTTAAAACCTTCACCAAAAAAACACAAATTGATCTTATAAGTTATTCATAGCATTATGATGAGGATTTTCTCAATACATTACTCTTAATGGTACTCCTATTTGGTTCTGGTCTTTCTTATGACTGCTTTGCTGGTTCTTTTTCTTTGATAATTTACTAGCTATCAATAATTCACCTTGAAGAAATACTTATATGAATATTCAATAGAGGATTATATGTGGTAGTATTTTAACTAGAGATTAATGTTGTTTAGCAGAAATGGTGATATTAACTAAAACAACGCTATCGTCAAATTGAAACTGTTGAATTGATTCCTGGTAGTGTGTTGAAACCTTGCATTTTACCACCGTCAGTTGCTGATGTTGGTGTGTATTTTTCTTTTCTTAAAACAGTAAAGAGCAATGCTGAACGAGATCATAACTTTAGTGTTTTCTGAGTACAGGAAGAAATATTCTGCCTTCTCCCTGTTATATATAGTCTAGTCTGAACAGACATGTCACTTGCTTCTGGTTAGAGCAGGAAAGGGCTAGCATGAGCACAGTGTCAGACTGAATATTAAAGAGAAATGTTATGTAAATTCAGTTTGATCATTACACTTCACACATGGTACATATTAAAATATGTGGAAACTTATTTGACAGCAGGCTGCAAACCTGGGACCAGTTCATACAGCAGCATTGTCTGCACTGGTTGGATATGGGGCTGCAGGCGGGATATAATGATGCTGTCATGTGAAGTTTGTGTGTGTGCACTGAACCTGACTGACACTTGTTACAAGTGAAGGACTGCATATACAGTGCACACAGCTCAATTTTGCCCCAAGGCCACAGTGGGTTAATCCAGCTGTGAGTTAAAAGTTGGCAACAGTGAATCACACCAAATTTACCCAAACAACTACTACCACTACTTTTACAACCCTGACCTTTATTCTGGAAATGCCAAAGTATGTGCTGTCTCAGCCTCAAAATTTGGATGAAGCCATATGACAGCACATTAGTTCACATCCAGCCAGGGCCCTTTGTGTTGTGATGCATGCCATTCATCATCTCCCAATCCTCTGTCAAAGTTAATTAAAGAATATGTTCACATTTTGTGGAAGTCTGTCTTAAAACATTACTGATATGCCCATATGTACAATTAAATCAGATTTGGTTGCTGCAATCTTCCAGGAGTCTGGCTAGCTGAATTTCAGTTTAACAGAATTTACAGTACATACAAATAAACTTAAAAATGTATTTTTGATTGGGAATTCAAATGAATGCTTCATAAAGGCAGATCAACAAGTCTTAAAGTCAGATAAAAGTTTGGTACACTTGCTGAGATGACAAACTTTTTTTCATATTTCACAGAAACATGGCAAAGAAAAGTAAACTTTGGGTTGATCATTCAAAACAACCTGTGAATTAATGCATTTCATACATTTTTGGTCATGGTAATTTATAGTATGTTAAATTTAGTAACCCATCATTCAAGTGCATGTAAAGTGATCTAAATACATTTCAAGCATCCAGGGAGTTTCAAATGTATGACTTAGAGCTCACCAAAGTCTGAAGAACAACTTTACAGCTCTGGAAAACAATTGGACCACATTGAATGAACACATGTATGCAGCATAAGTAGCCTTACTACACAGTCTTTGTTCTGTACAAGAAAATGATACTCATCATGTCTACTGAAACAAATTTAAGTTGTTTATTTCAGAGTTGTAACCATGGGAATTAGCACAACATTCTGAACTCTGTACTGTACATTGGTATTCTCCATGGGTTTTTGGCACATACTGGGCACATTTCCATTGGCCTCCCTCATCTAAGGACAGCTTGGCTGCAGAAAGAAAGGAAAGAAAAGAAAATAGAGTATAAGAAGCCGCTAAAATACCATTTGAAGTGTTTATTTGTAGGGCCTATAGATAGATAGATAGATAGATAAATAGATAGATGGGTGGATGGATGGATGGATGGATAGATAGATAGATATATAGATGGATGGATAGATGGATGATAGATGGATAGATAGATGGGTGGATGGATGGATGGATAGATAGATAGATATATAGATGGATGGATGGATGGATGATAGATGGATAGATAGATGGATGGATGGATGGATAGATAGATAGATATGCCTAGATAGATAGATAGATAGATAGATAGATAGATAGATAGATAGATGATAGATAGATAGATAGATAGATAGATAGATAGATAGATAGATAGATAGATAGATAGATAGATAGATAGATATGCCTAGATGGAGCATGGAGCATAAATGGAGCAAGAGCCCAGTGTACAGCCACATTATCTTAAAGCTAATTTTGAACCAAATATCATGGACTTGGAAACACAAATGAAAAACTAGATATTTAAAAAACAACTCAGATCGAAATTACATTGAACTGAGTCATTGTGCAGCAAAACGCCTAGTTAGAAAAATAATGATCATACTACAGATTTAAATTTTCAATTCTTAGATGGTTTCTCTCTCAATAACATCATCTGTAAAATGTATTATTTTATTTATTTTTACTGACATGCAGCAACATTTTCTGTGAGGCGCGTGCGGCCGCGGCCCCGGAAGTGTTTGTTCACGGTTAAAAGCCAGGTGACGTCGCGGGCTAACATTAGCTGTCAGCCGGGTTCAGTCGGACTCATTGTGCAGGGATGGAGGTGACACGCAAGAGTAAGTTACCAGCCGGGTTTTGCTCACTGAATTCACAGCTCGCCGAGCACATGATGATAATTCACGACAGAGCGCTCAGTTTGGTGTGAATGTTAAAACGGGGCTTCATCGTTTCTCGGTGTTTGTGCAGCTTTGCTAGCTTAGCTGTCTGTGCAGCTAGTTGCACAGCTGCGGGGTTTCTGCTAACACGCTCTCATCGGGCTAACATGCTGATGGTGTTCATACACTTTCCCTTTTTTGTTTGTTTTTTACAGATTACAAAGACAGTTTAAAGACGGTCTACAGCGCGATAGAGGAGGCTGACTTTCTTGCCATCGATGGAGAGTTTTCAGGTGAGCAGCTGTGTGGGAGTTTTAATAGAGAGAGTTAGATTTAACATCTGAAGACTGTGCATGTAAATTGTGACATTTTGTTGTGGTTTTTTTTTTTTTTTAAGGGATAAGCGACGGTCCTAATGTCAGTGCACTAACAAACGGACTGGACACACCGGAGGAGAGATACACGAAGCTTAAAAAGGTTTGCAATGATGGGGGAAATAAATGCACAGCGTAAATGCTTCCTGTAGATACCAATTTACACATCTCAAGTTTTTTTTAATATCTCCATTTAAAATCTTGTCTGTCCACTAGCACTCCATGGACTTCCTGCTGTTTCAGTTTGGATTATGTACATTCAAGTACGACCAGGCAAAGTCGAAGTGAGTGAAATATGTTTTTAATGATACAATATTATAAATCTGAAATTGATGTTTTGGGACAAACACATGTACATGTCACTCCTATGACTGTCTCCGGTTGTTACTAAAATGCCTGCTTTTTTTTTTTTTTTTTTTGCATCAATTAAGAGTAATGTTTCAGATTAAATAGGTTTTTTCTTCCTCTTTGGAGAAAAGCTTACAGTACTTGTTTCCAGTCCTCTTGCAAATAATTATTGTACTTGGCACCCAGACAAAATAAGTGTACAAATCTCAGGTACTCCTGTACAGTTTTCTGGATTGAGCATGGTTGGATTCTCAAGCGGCCCCCTCATTACCAGATCTTCAAGCTGTGGTTTAGGAAGGGTCATTTTATCTAAATGTATTATGAGTTAAAACGGATTATATCTGAATAAACACCATAAGGACCTGGTAGTATTTTGTGTGTGTGTGTGTGGAAAAATGTCCAAAATAGCAGCAATTTACTTCTTCACTTTCCCACCTTTTTTTTTTTTTTTTTTTTACGAGAACATTAGACAACCACATGCTAATAATCAAAGACATCCAGCTTTTGTTTGACTTGTGATAAACTCCTAGCTACTACAATGGCCTCACTAATTGGTCATCATTGCTTTTTTTCCTCTCGCCTTGTCTCTGCAGGTATATCACAAAGTCTTTTAACTTTTATGTATTCCCGAAACCCTTCAACAGGACGTCCCCTGACATAAAGTTCATCTGCCAAGTAAGTCTGTGTTGCTCCTTTGGGCTATTGATAGTGAGATAAATTACTTTTAATATGTTGTTCCTTATGCCTGGTCAGCAGCAGAGACATAGGGTGCATCCAAATTGCCAAGTACCTACTCAATCTGTCAGTAGTCAGTACCTACTATCCGTGCTGTATACTGTTGGTGCCTACTATTCAGTAGGAGTGCACAGTAGGCAGATATTTGTCCCCACTTCTTCTGATTCATTCAGTATGGAAGTGGTGTCATTTGCGTTTCCTGAACCGGCCGCATCCACCCGTTTTTTTTATTTTTTTAGTTTGTTTGCATTACTCCTCTTGAATAAAGCTAAACCAAAAAAAACAGTCAGGTAAAAAAAATAACAATATCACAATGTAAATCAAGTAAAAAAACAGATTAAATAACATACAGTAAAATAAACCAATGAAGATGCATTTAAATAATTAAATCATTATTTAAATAGAGGGGGGGAAGGTTTTATAATAATGCAGACATTTGTTAAATTTTCTGTTGTTTAATTAAAAGTAGCGATTTCAGTCGGGACTTTAACTCTAGATTAAAAATTGATTCAATAAAACCATGCTCATTAGTTTTGATTTGGAGGTGCATGTGAACTGATGTTTAGCGTTTAACTTTTGCGTGTGGTAACTTTTACCACAGCATTGTGGGTGGTGAAATACAATTCATTTCCTGAAAGCACGCATCCGATCCATACTGCATGAAACCCGGAAGTTAGTATCCATACTGAAATGTTCAGTATACTGAGGTGGACCAAAAAAATGCATACTGAATGACCACGAAAGTTCAGTATACTGAAACTCCCTACTGAAAAGTATGTAATGCATACTGAGCTGTGACAATTCGGAAAGGGCCATGATGTGTTGGTTGGCATTTAGTTTGAAAGTTGTGAAATGTCAGATCATCTTTTGTTATTTCAGAGTTCCAGTATTGACTTTCTGGCCAGTCAGGGGTTTGACTTCAACAAGGTGTTCTGTAATGGTGAGTACACTGAAATGACCTTTAGTTTAATAATGTGAAGTGATTGATATCAACCCTCAATATTAGTGAAGCAGCTAAATTGTGTTTATGTCCAACATTTCATTAAAGGAAGTTGGTAGTTTGTGCTCGGTCAATTTCTTTGATAAGAAACCTCCTGGTATAAATCAAAGTCTTGTTAATTTCATACTGTAACCAGTACATAGTGATATAGTCGTGTATAAAGTTCTTAAATATGTTTTTTGCTGAAATGACAACAAAAAAGTCACACAATTTCAATATACTTACTTTTGTGTGTGTAATAAATTAAATGGCAATCAACAATCTGCTTATTCAGCTTTTCTTTGCAGAAAGTAATTGATCTTTGACATAGCATGGGAAAAAAAACTAATTCCTAGACTGCCTAAGATGTTTGTTGCCTCTAAAGGTCAAGGGTTATGTTGTCAGTTACTACACATACAGTCAAATGACGCCCTTGAAGGCCTCACTAATCATGAGCTGGAATTGCTCTGTTTTACTTGTTCATTGGATTCTTTTCAGATGATATTGAATGTTTAAGAATAGAATGAAAACCTTTTTTCCATCAAGCAGTACTCATTCAGAGAAGTCATCAGTCTGACGTGTCGTTTGAGTAATCCTTAAACTCCAGGTCACCATTAAATTGTCAGATTTAATCTTCTTTTTTTTTTTAAAAAGGAATCCCATACCTTAATCAAGAAGAGGAAGCCCAGCTGAGGGAGCAGACAGAGGAGAGGAGAAATCAACATGCTAATGGTATAGGGACGCCATCCTTCATCTCTCCATCCTCCAAAGGTCCTGCACACGTTCCAGAGGAACATAAAGACTTCATCAACAAAGTCATGTAAGGGTTATTGTTGTTCTGTCTGTTTGACAATACATACACCAAAGGCAGACATGAAGCTCATGTTTCAGGCCATGAAGGCACAAAGAGCTGTGGTTTATCAGAGGGTTGTGTACGGCTTAATTCTTTTACACTGATATAAGCCAGCCACTTAGTTTTATTTTGTAACATTATGAGCATGGCTAAAAAAATATCCCATCTTTGCCCCAAAAGTAAGATTCACACATCTCCTTTTGCTTTGGGAAAACATTATCTCAACTTCAGCTTTTTCATAAGTATGTTAATGTCTCTGTTTTGATCATTTCTGCTGTTTTCCCCACAGACAGAAGGTGGAGGCCCTCTTCACCAACTCTGAAAAGACTGTGGATTTGGAACCATGCACAGGGTAAGCTAGCCCCTTCTCTAGAAATCACCAGCCCTTCACTGGTTTTGTATTTATAATGTACGGTTTTGTACCATATTTTAATGTATCTATATTTTCTTAACAGGTTTCAGAGAAAGCTGATCTACCAGACCCTGAACTGGAAGTGAGTTTCACTAAATTCTTTGTTGTACTACTATAGTTGTTGTTGTATTTGATTTGCAAAGAATAAGAAAAAATATTTTCCAGGTTTCCCAAGGGGCTTCATGTGGAAACAGTGGAGACAGAAAAGGTAAAAAAACATGGTTTTCCCTTTACAGATTTTGCCCTTGGGTTTTGTTTGTGTGTTGTGAGTTTGTACAATATTGATGTGATTTCTGCATGAGTGCAGAAGGAGCGCATTATTCAGGTCAGCAAAGTCAACGACGAGGAGAGGAAGAGGAGGGAGCAGCAGAGACTGGAGAGGGAGCAGGTGAGATTAATTTCAAGATGGCAGTTAAATTGTAATGTATTGGTCAAAATCAAACACTTAGGTTCCTTTAATTTAAAAGAACCTGAGGCGGCACTATTTTTTTGTATGTATTTTCCATTGCATTTTCTGTATACCCCATAGGAGGAGCTAAATGATGCCGTTGGCTTCTCCAGAGTCATCCACGCCATCTCCAAATCTGTGAGTAAGCAGCGACTTGTTTCAGTTCACTTTAAATCAACCTATAGTTAAAACATTGTTCATCTTTAATTAGCAGTTAGAATACATTACGCATGTGCAGAGTTTATGCTAGACCTTTTTTTTTTTCAACTACTACTACAATCTGAATAGCCTTATTTGCCTCATAACACGACTTTAACCGCAATAAAATGCACACAAAATACACAAACTCTTAAAGGTCCCATATTCTGCTTTTTCTGGTTTTATATGCTCTTTAGTGTGTTTTCCAAGTGTCCTGTGCATGTTTAGGCACATCTGTGCAAAAATTCAAAGTCAGCGGAAACGCGGCTTCTCCTACGTCCTCCTGTTAGCTGTAGCATTAGCTGCATGTAACGCTCGGTTCTAGCCCCCCTCGATAAAAATTTGTCAGTGCTGCGTCATTGTCAGTGTGAGATCACTGATCTAAGCCCATTGGCTCGTTGTGGCAAGCCCTGCAGCTCATGTTGAAATTTCAGAGAAGCATGCTGAGCAACTGACCAATAACGACAGAGTGGATCGGCAGACCAATCAGAGCAGACTTGGCCCACGTGGGGTCTAACAGTGGGGGCTCAGCAGAGCGTAGATGACGGACTCAGAGCAGAGGGAGCAAGGAGGAGCAGTACATGAAAACAGACACTTTTTTCAGACTTCAGCTATTGTGAACGTACAAAAGTAGATACATAGATTAAATATACGAACCCCAAAAAGGGCATAATATGGGCTCTTAACAAGTGGTTTCCCACAGAATTGATGCTGTACCTGTGCTGTGGTGAGGGGGGGTCAGTTTAAAGAACATTTTGAGAAACATTTTTCATACAAGGTGAGGTTATACCTAAAGTAGGTTAGGTTGGTTAACTGCTTTGTTCAAAAATTACTTTAATCTGATCACCTTTTCCGTTCACTTCTGCATACACACCCCTCCATCTTTTCTCTTAATACAATTTTTTTTTTTTTGATCAGCTTTATATTATATTTCTTGTTGCCTGTTTTTGCTATTTTGACAACAGCCTATTCATCAGCAGCATGTTTTATAAAGATGTCCAATTGACCCTGCGTGGACGTATTCTTATTGCTCAGCATAATGCAATGACCCAAAACTAAACGTGCAGAGAAACATTATTATGGAAACGAAAGCATAAGAAGGTTCATCTTTAAGACCTTGCAGCTCAATCTAAGGACTTAAATCTCTCCCTCTGATCTACAGAGCAGGTGTCAAACATGACACACTTAAGCGAGAGGGGTGGAGAGCAAAGGGAGACTGTTCATTAGTGTGTCGATTGTGATTGGTGATATCCGCTAATGTAAACCCAGCCCATGTGTCATTGCACTATTTGAAGAATAGAGTTTCAGCTTTTGAAAAATGTGACTTGGACTCCAACCTCTGCTCTCAATAAACAGGGTAAACTTGTGGTTGGCCATAACATGCTGTTGGATGTGATGCACACCATCCACCAGTTCTACTGCGCTCTGCCTGAGGTAAAACTTAAAACTGGATCTTTTAAATACCGAGCCTTTTTGGCTGCATAAAATAGTGTTTTAGGCTAAGTAATGTTTTAATGAATAATTGATGCCTGTCTTCTTCAGGATCTTCAAGACTTTAAAGAGGTCACGAGGTGTGTGTTTCCAAGGTAAAAATCAAATCCCTTTTTTTTTTGATACATTTGTATACTTACTAAAGAAGATTCTTTTTCAGCCTTTGGGTGATTTATATTGTTCAGCTTGTGAATTCTGACTGTCTGCTTGCAGACTTCTGGACACAAAGTTGATGGCCTCTACTCAGCCTTTTAAGGTAAGATCTCATCAGTACAAAAGAATACCCGAGGTACCAAGGTGCTGCTGGAGATCAGGGCTGCTTGAATAAGGCAAAAATCACTATCACGATTATTTTGATTGATCTTGAGGTCAAGACTATTTAAAACTTGTGGGTTTTACAACATCTGGATCACATTAATTTATTAAACTATAACATTCTGAACGCTTGCATAAAAAAATGTATATATAAACATAATAAATGGCAGCCAAAATTGAAATTGAATCTATATTAATTGGCCATCTCTTATAGAGATGTATCTCTTGGTTTGACATATCCAGCTACTAAAAATCATTGGACTTTGTTTAAAACATAATTATTCTTCGTTTGAGACATTTACAAAATCTTTGTTTAATATGCAAAGTCAAGACTCTACCACACCAAAGAACTACATGTTGCAGTCTTTTTCTTGAGCTCCCGTCATATTTGAGTGAACAGGTGGGTGATGTTGATAAGTTGTATTTGACGTTTGTGTTTCAGGAGCTAATTAACAACACATCCCTGGCAGAGTTGGAGAAGCAGCTCAAGGAGAGCCCCTTCAAGTCTCCACATGTTGGTGAGTAAATACAATGTGAACTTGTAGAGGTTCATGCAAAAGTTGTGCAAACTCCCGCCAACTTGATTTCTTTTTGTTTCATTCCTGTCAGAAACGGCAGAGGATTTCAAGAGTTATGACACAGCCCAGGAACAGCTCCACGAAGCCGGCTACGATGCCTACATCACTGGCCTCTGTTTCATCTCTATGGCAAACTACCTGGGTAACACAAGAACATCCCACTGATCGTGTTGGCAAATAAAAAACAAGTGTCATTACCGTAAATGTTGTTTAACTGTTGGCTCAATGTTGTGTTTTCAGGCTCTTTCTTGACTCCACCAAAAGCTTACATCTCAGCACGCTCTAAACTAATTGAGCCTTTCTTTAACAAGTACGAGCCGCACTCATAATTATAAAATGTGTGTTCTTTTTCATTTACTGCTTAAAACGTATAACACCTGTCTTTTTTTCCTTTAGGCTTTTCCTGATGAGGATTATAGATATTCCCTACCTCAACATCACAGGGCCAGATTGTGAGTAAAATGATGTTTCAAAGGGAGCACTCACACTAGGCTCAGTTGCCCCGTACCATTCCGAACCATGGTTGTCACCGTTCCCCAGTCCCTCGCTCGCACTCGCATTACTGAATGCCCAACCCGGCCTGAGCACGCTTACCTCCTCTACATCTGTCATCACATCGTAATACTGGATATTTGCAGATTTTCCCAAAGACCTCTAAGTTCTTGTGGGTTTTATCCAGCTGACTCTGAGTGTTCGCGTCCCTTCTGCATCTGAGCAACAAGAATCCTTTTGATGCTAGCGTTTAAAATTATAGTCGAGACTTACAGTTACATCAATTAGGCTATACGTTATGTCCACGTTGTGCTCGTGTGTGAGCAACCGTATTGTACAGAAGCCCATCTCTCTCAAGCGCATGGGTCAAGGAAGTGTACGACCCACACAAGTCAAACAAACAGTTCATACTGAAAACGACTTTCAGCAATCTCTGATCTTTTTACTTTTCTGTTCTTGCAGTGCAACCTAAAAGAGACCATGTCCTTTATGTCACCTTCCCAAAAGAATGGAAGACAAGTGACCTCTACCAGCTTTTCAGTGCCTTTGGTAAGACATGATTCTGCCTGATAATTCTGCTTCCACACAGTATCACCTGTTGTTTTTCAATCACTGTGCTATCCACACAGGAAACATCCAGGTATCATGGATCGATGACACGTCAGCATTTGTGTCTCTAAGTCAAACAGACCAGGTACAGATAGGTGAGTGAAACACTCCTTGTGATTACAATCACCATATTGGACTTGTTGATGCGGTTTGTTATATATTCCTTTCTTCACACAGCTATGAACACCAGCCGCTATGCAGAGAGTTACAGGATCCAGACGTATGCAGAGTACATCCAGGGCAGACAGCAGAACAAGGAGAAGCTCGATCAGACACCCAAAACATGGGGAGATGACAGCTGGGCCAAATCTCACTACACCCCATCCTCTACCTCTGGTTTTGGATATACAAGGTACACTGCAGATTTAAGCTGCAATTTTAACTCGATGCATTTCAGTATAGAACTGGGCTTGAGAGTTTCCATTCATTTGTTTTAAGTATGGCTTATGTTTTCTGCTCTAGAGGTTTGAGGAAACGCAGCATCAGTCCTGTTCAGGGAGAGCAGGGGACTGGAGATGGGCTAATTACAGACGGCTGGAGTCACTACTCATACCCGGATAACACGAGCAGCAAGAAGATGAAAACTGATGGTGTGTGAACGCATATGTGCTTAAGTACTTTCCTACTGCAGTGTGGTAACAAGTTTCAGATTTACTGAAGGTTCTCAGCAGAGGTTGCCCCCTGAGGGAGAGGGCAGATGACATTTTGAATACTTGTCACAACACATGAGATCAAATAAGTGAAGGGTGGCTGAGTAATTAGTTAACTTATGATTTTATATAATATCTATAGCTATCTGCTGCAATATGAACAAATCAGATGGATTCCTGATGGAAATATTTTTCCTCAAACACAAAAAGTAATTGTGTATATATATTTTCATTTTGATTTTTCAAATGTCTTCATTAATTATAAGTTCTTACTCCAGCCTTTCTTGTTTTCCTGAGAAATGTCTTTATTTTAACCCTGTGATGTGACAGTTTCCCTCCTAATGTAGTAAAACTGTAAATGTAATTTAGTAAAAAAGAGGTATAATACACTTGTCACTGTTTTACAGCCAAAAGCGAACAGGCAAATGCTGAAGCTGTTGAGAGTAAAACCTCAGAGGGATGGCTCAAGACGGCGTGAGTAAATTGGATGTGATCCTTTATGTTGTCACCTTTATCCAGTTTGCTGGTAAGTCTTCTAACGGTTGCTGTGCCCTGCAGAGATTCATCACATCCGGCAGGGTTAAGTCCGGTTCTTGATGAGGAGGAGGAGGGAGGAGGATCCTGAGAGCACAGGTGATGCTGATGGGATGGTCACCTGGCAACAAACTTCATTAACTGCCCAAGGGAGGAAAGGTCAAAAGAATGAGAAAAAGCAGACTGAAGGTGTGTTTTTTTGTTTGTTTGTTTTTTACTTTTGAATCTGCTTGACACGGTTCAAATTGTTAAGACTGTATTTATTTCATAAAGTGTGATATTCTTAAAAACAAATGTATTTATATCGTTGTAACATGGACAATCCACTTCATCCATTCAAATGCAGTACATGTGTTTGTGCTGTGTTGGGTTACTGTGGACATACAGGCAGAAGACAACATTCAAAGTCATACAGATCATTTTTTTTTTTTTTTTTTTTTTTTTTTTTTTTTGAAGTGCTGTCCTTTCCTACCATCACTTCTTACAAATGATCATGACAGCTATGGTTTGACAAGCTTAGACATGTAGTTACTGTATCCAAACCTGCAAAACAAATATAAATGAGACAAGCCAAGGGTTCAAAAGATTAAATGTACCAACTGAAAATATTACAGTATGATAACTTTCATTTTTGTCTCCTCTTGTACAGCAGCGGAATCTACATCGTCACTATTTGAAGTCCCAGAAGTCTGGTAGTGAGAGGTGGGGAGGTTGATGTCCAACAGTGAACGGCTGTCATGAGTCTCTTCTTAAGCACTTGGTGCGCTCTCCTGTAAAGTTGTACTTCAGAGGGAGTGGTGCGCATCCTGAATTAATTTGTTCACTCAGCAGCTGTGGACACCTCAGCTTCCAGCCCAGCTGTTTGGACTGTTGAGAGAGAACACAAGCCATAATGACAGCTGCCATACTTGCATTTTGTTACAGAGGAGCAGGAAACTCTTCTGGGTAACACACACACACACACACACGCTTGCATACACTTACACTCACAACTTCAATCTGAAACTCAGCAAATGTTCATTTCTTCACTTTTCTCAGACTGGAATCTGACGCCACAGCAGTGCTATCACTTTGAAATTAATTTTGACAACACTGTCACCTCGATCAGTCTTAAATATGTTGTGTGTGAGTTTGTGCATGTACGGGAGATGTTATTTTTCCTCTAGGCTTTATTTCCCTGTAAATTATTTTCTTGAAAGGTGACACAAAACCACCAACTAATAGGTCCTGTTGATTACAACATCTGGGTAATTTGGTCTTTTAATGCAGTCGGATATTTTTAAAAAGTACATTCGGTCACCTTCCCCAGTTTTAGCCAACGTGTATAAGCTTCTCAATGACAATTTGATGTTTATTATTGGTGGCATTTTGATCCTTCAGGAGAGGTGCTTGTTGTTTATTGTACAGAATTGGTTTCTTTACCTTTTTTGTGTTGAATGTTTTGTAACCGTGTCAAGTATGTCCTAATGCAAAATATGTAAAAACGTTAAAATGACGAATGCATTTTTGTATAAGAAAACACTTAAAATTCTTAAATATTTCCTTGGAAAGGGAGAAAAAAATAAAAGAATGTTTCTTAGTACTTCTGACTGTTTGTCTTTAATACAGAGCACTTTTATGTCAACTGCAAATTCATCTAGCGACGTGTTTTTTTTTTTTTTTACGCAGAGTAGTCATGACTTTACAGCTTATGCGAGACCCTTTTCACCTTTTATTATCCTTTTAAAAAAAACGACTATCAATTATAACACATGGAGACCCACGCTTATTTTACAGATAAGCCTAGGTGACTGAGCGGGTCATTATGTACAGAAGGGAAGACATGATACTGTATACAACTTAGTCTACAGTTCTGTGGAATTAAAATAAATAGATAGCACTGCAGACTCGAGTCTCTCTGAGGGAAAAAAAACAGACAAATCAAATCCTGCTGTAACAACATTCTCTATGATGACATATTTTAACTGACTGACCACACTTTTTTATTTAGCCAAGGAAATACACGTGACAAACCTTGAAGCCCTCAATGAGCAAGTAATAAACATGTAAGGCCAGGTAACATCGAAATACACTAGGTGAATAATTTGGTAACAAATGATTACTTGTAGCTTTAACTAATTCCAGCCTATGGGAGTAATTATGAATTGTCAAGAAATAGTAGAGGTTGAAAAGTAAATCATGCAGACATAAAACACAGCTTTTTAGTGAAAAAAAAAAAACATCTTTATTATGAAAGTAATTTATTCATTTCATTTTGTTTACTTTGAACATCTTAAAGGGGCTATACGTAACTTGCAAAAATACTGCGTTTGTAGTGATACAGCAGGCCGTTAGGGGAACTGCACCAGTAACCTGTTGCTCGCTCGTACGTACACAAACGAGCATCATCAGCCGCGAAACACTGGATTTTATTAAAAAACAATTTATACATAAAAAGTTACGACACACTTTCCGTAACAACTTGTTTAAAAACAATTTCAGTTGGGAAAGGGTGCAGGATGAAGTAGAGAACCAATTTAGCATCCCCCCTTTTTTCATTCATTCATAATATCACAAACTGTATTGTGATGGTTGATTTAGAAAATCTTGGAATTTATATAAAATTGCAAATGATTCAATATATTTGATGTAATATTGTTTATATGTGATTTCCAACACAAGTTTGTCTGTTACTACTCTAAATGTTATTTTTTATCATGATGGTTGAGTCACTCTTTATAAAGAGCAGTTGGTATTTACAGAAAAGCATCATATGCTTCCTCTACATCTTCCACTGAGACCTTGCTGGCTCATGAGCTCGATTTTGTAAATGAATTGCCTTTTTAATTTTAAGTGTAATTATCCTGTAAATTGGCAGCTGTTTTCCTGTCTCTGTTCAGCTCTGAATGATCGCAAACACTGGCAGATGGCCGGTCGTGTCATTAATGAGTAACCCACTGCTTCCTTTACCGATCAATAGTGTTTATCAATTAGTGTGGCAATGTATCTTGTTGTTTGAGATGCTCATCTGTGGCTGGCTATTCTTTTTCTTATATTATTTGATTTATTTTTTATCTCCAAATATTTAACTTGATTCAAGTTACACACACGCTCAGGCAGCACTGAACTGAAAGACACATTTTAAGTGTAGGAATAAAATAAAATCTTCTCCATCGAGGGTTGTTCTTCTCAAGACGCTTGCTTTACCTCCATAAGACACAAACCAGGAAGGCTGCCATGCCGACTAGGAAAGAGAAGAGAAGGTTTGGAAATGTTTCACTTTGTTATCAGCTTTTCTTATATGCTGTCAGAAGTCTCACCTAATGTGTCCAGGAAGCACAACAACCGACAAGGTGCCGTCTGAGAGAGACCTGAAGAGCTTCTTTAGATGGCGGTCCAACCTGGCCATCATTAGATCCATTTCCTGGTCCTGCACATAATAAATACAGGAAGTTATAATACAGGAGTTGTAATCTAATGTGCTCAAATAATCATACTGATAACTCTACCTTGTGTGCACTTAATAGTTTTCTTTTTTACCAATGTACCAACAATCCTCATCACTTTGTTTGATGTGCAACATTAAGGCCAAACTGTTTTGATTTAGTGTATTCGGTGTATGCATCCCACTAAAATCTGCTCAATTCATTCTTGTCCAAGAGAAGATCTTTGAAGATGTTTCCTCGAGATAATCCTGATATGCTGTTCACAAAAACAGACAAATGACCTGAAAACAATAATTATAGCAGAGGCTGTCATGGTGTGTAAGCCTTAAAACAATCTTAAAGGTATACTATGTGACACTTTAATCATTAATATAGCAAATATCAATGAAGTCAAACTCCCTCTGGGTTTGTTGTTTTTGGCTCTGAGTTCATACACAGGCGCTTCCTTCAGCTTGTTCATGTTTCGCTCAGAGGCTCAAACATGTTTCATTCATGTGACACCCTCCCTGTCTGAAGGGAAGCGAGAAGGGCCCTGCCTATTCAGGGATGCTCTTAGAAGAGGCACAATGGTGGAGATTTGACACAACTCAAGAACCAACAGACTTTCCAAACTGAAGATCAGACTTTTTTGGTATAAAATACTTAATATACTTACTTAAAATACTTAAAAAAAAATAAGGACAGAGTCAACTTTGGGCTAAATATCTAAATAGAGATCAGTTGTAGAAACGTCTGAACTCTGTGGGCACACTTAAGAAGGAGTGGGGAGGTGGGCGCTGCGCTGAAGGGACAGATGTGATTTGGATTGAGAGACTGGTGCTGAAGTCTGACATCTACTCTGAAAGACTTTGACTTTGTACCTTTGAAGTCAGCACTTCTTTACCTGAGGACTGTTGTGCATGTGGGTCATGTCCTTGACTCCGTCTGCCTCGTTGTCTGTACCCACACATGCTGTTGCCATGGCAACCCATGAGGATAGATGGGGCGGGGTTAGCGATGGACAAACTAGGTAGCCTCTCTTCAGTAGCTCGTCAGAGGCGCTGAGAGCTGCATGTCTGCCTTCTGAAGTCTCAAACTCTGTCAACAAGAGACACAGAAACTCTGTATGAGCTTTTACAGAAAGACATGACAAGAAAATGTTTTTTATGTTTTTTACTCACCTATGTTTGCATGTCTCAGAAATGTTCCTGGTTTGGCAGGCAGAAGAACTCTCTCCACGGTGCCAAAGGGATTAAATGTCTCGCTGATTATCTCCTCACACAGCTTAGATTTTGTGTTTGTAGGCTGTAAACTTTGACCATTGACTTCAGCTGAAGGCAAAGTGTCCACCGTCGCAACACCTGAACATTCGGCTTCTAGCGTGTGTCCATTGACTTTTTCCGAAACTGTTATGCACTCAGCCATTCTAGGCTTTAATTTCACAGCATATATGTGATTGCTGTCCTCCATCAGAACATCAAGAGTCAGATCCAAATCCAGCGTTGACTCATTAACAGGCCTCTGGACCTAAGAAAGAAGAAGAGGTTTAGCTGTGATGTAAGGGGAACACAGAAGGAAATGGAAAATGGGATAACAGTTACCTTGATGGGTTGTCCTTGCATATGAAGTCCATTCAGAGTTTTTAAAGCCAACACAGCTCCCTCCAGCAGCTCAAACTCCACCTCTGCATGAACCTGGAAACCAGATATCGTCATAAAAAAAAAAACACAGCTCAGAAAACAGATCTCTCTTCAAAAAAATCAAATAAAAGACTCATAATGTAAATGAGCTCTACCCTGAACGCTGTGTTCAACATTCTTATTTTCCGAACAGGTCCGCAGCAACGCAACAGCTGCCTCACTTCCCTCTCAGAGATGCCTGCAGGGAACGGGCCAGCATAGACTACACACATCTCTTGAAGACTTGCAAACAGCTGCAAGATAAACACGCACATTATTTATGATTTCAGAAAACACTCAAAGACACTTCAAATTCATAATGTTCTGAAAGACTGTCTCGCCTTCTGGTGCTGGTGCTCCTGTGCAGGGAAGCATCCTTTCAGGTGGTCTAAGATTGAAGAAAACTGAAGCACTGAGAGGAATGCACACTTTGTTTTTCTCCTGAAAGAGGCCAGAACCTGAAAAAGACAGGATGGAGAAACCGGTGTTAAGATGGAAGAGGAAACAGAACAGGACATGTAGTGAGTGTGTGTGGGGTGGGGGGGTGAAAAGGGCACTAATGCAGCAGTCTGTCACCTCTGATTTGAATTAAAACACTATGAACATTGACCTATGATATCATCCGTGACAAAGTCATGATTCATTAAACAAAAAGGGCAATTATAGTCATCTTTATTTTCTCTGTCATGTTTCTTTATTGTTGAATTGCTGAACACAAAAGCATCAAACGATTGTTAATTCAAGAAAAAGCTTATATCAAGGGTCCCATCAGTGAAAAATCAGAAAGTAGTAGACTTATATTGTCTCACCTCTTTGTCAGAGTTGTGCCACTGCTGATTGGACAGAGCCAGGGTGATGTCAGAGCGCTTTCCTAAATAGGTTACGGAGCGGCCAAGGGTCTGCAGTATATCAGCAAACCTGAACAAGAAATAAAGACAGATAATCTGTCAAATACACCAGCAGCAGAATATGAGATAATGTTGGATTCAACTAATGAATGAAGATCTAAATCTAAAACATGCAAGAAATAAAGTATATATTATATATTTTTCCCTGAAAAAAACAACAACTTTGTCTTTGTTGTAACTTGCATCTCCCTGCAATGCGCTTGTACACAGCATCTTAAAACACAAACATTTGCATCAATGCGACTGGGTGAGATGTTGTCTGCTCGACACGAGTGTTGTAGCCCCGGGTCAGGTGTCAGTGTGGCTGAAGGCGGCCTGAACACATAAACCAGAGGGGCACGATAAAATGTGTAATTGGGCTGGATTCTTTTACGATAACTACAAACAATGAAGTTGGATGATTGAACATAAAACTGAAGAGTGAACAGTAGCTATAACCCACTGTTTATGTGTATCTGCTGTTCTTGGATGTTTTACACAACACCTGTTTGCAACTTGTCCATCCTCAATCCAAAAAGCTTTTTTTCCCACCACTGAATTTGCACCAATTAATGTGAGGGTAGCTGATAGATAGCTTACGCGTCATCTAAGTGCATCAAAATAGAGTAAGAGCATGTTATACCCAAGCCTCTATTCAGAAGGTAAAATTTCTGCATGCTTAGTGAGAAGGCATTGCTTTTTTTTTTTTTTTTTTTACAATAACTTTTCATCAGACTTTTACATATGTTTTTTGCAAATGCTTATATTGCGATAATGATGAAATAACAATTGTTGGTTCATCCCTACTCTGAATCGATACATTCCTTTGTCAGCCCTGAGCTTGCTAAACCCCCGATGCTTTCCATTCCCTCATTGAGCCAGAAAAAAACAACAACTGACAAACTCTACTTATCATACCTTTAAGGCTTTTGTAATACGCACACAGCTGTTACATAAAGAGATCCTAACCAGCTGATAGTTTCCCTCTAACTTAGCTGAAAGCTTATGTTAAACTCAAACACAGGTGATGTAGTCAGTGAGCCAGATTTGAGCTGAAAAGGACCAATTTACGCCGAGTCATCTTCTACAAAGTCCCAAAACAGTTTCATCTTTAATTGAATCTTTGGTCTATCTGGGCTCAGTGTGTATTACCTGAGACTTGGTGTAGGGGCAGGAGCGCAGTCAGGTGAGTCCTCATCAATCGTGTATCCCCACAGCTCCTCCAAATGAAGTTCTACAACCTGACAGTGAGGGAACAAATACTTTGTCATATTAACTCTGCGTGTTTGTGTGTGTGTGTGTGTGTGTGTGTGTGTGTGTGTGTGTGTGTGTGGTACAGAGCGATGTGTTACCTGAAGAGGTCCTGTTCTAATAAAGTACTGGGCTAGCTCCAGGGCTGCCACAGCATCCTCAATGGGATTATGACCCTTCTTCTCTTCAGTCTGTATATGCCTCCTGGTACGCAGGCAGAACAAAATCAGTTTAAGCCATGTTGGCTGAGAGAGACACAGAGACACAACAGAGACAGACACACAACTCACTTCAGAACTGTCTCAGCCAACACCTTGAGCTTGAACTTCTGTCCAAACTCTCTCCTGTACATCAGCGACGTGTCGATAACGTGCTGGTGGATCAGCTACAGGGAAGACCCAAACACGTGTGTGTGAAAACTGTTCATGAAAGACTTTCAACAAATTCATCACATTTTTTTCTGAATACACACAAAAACTAATAAAGCATCCGCTGCCCTCAGGTTCACAGTAAAGTATATTTCAGTAACTCACTTTCAGAGCCATTAGGTCATTGTTTAGCGAGTGGCCCACCAGGACTGCGTCACTCGGCAACAACGTCCTGAGTTTGGCTTGAACATCCCTCAGAGTGGTTTTGATTGGTCGCAACATTGCTGCGGTTATACCAGAGAACCTTTGAGAAGGCACCGAGCCATACAGGAAACAAAAGGTGTATTTTAACACTTGTCACAGTTGTTGGTTATAATAATAATAATAATAATAATAATAATAATAATAATACATTTTATTTAAAGGCGCCTTTCAAAACTCTCAAGGTCACCTTACAGAGCAGAGATAAAAACAACAAAGTAACAACACAACGATAAAATTAACATTAAAAAACACAAATGTACAGGATGTAAAGGAGTTATGAGAACGGGTGGAGAATGATCAGACTGAATATGCCAGTTTAAAAAGATGTGTTTTGAGATGAGATTTGAAAATGGAGAGAGTGTCGAGATTACGGATTTGTGGTGGGAGGGAGTTCCAGAGGTGGGGGGCAGAGCGGCTGAAGGCCCTGGACCCCCATGGTGGACAGGCGGGCGGGTGGTGCAGTGAGTTGAATGGAAGAAGTTATGCTACTGTGTGTCTGTGTGTGTGTGTGTGTGTGTGTGAGTATGTGTGTGTGTGTGAGAGTGCGTGTGTGTTTACTTGGTGAGGTAGTTGAGGATTTGTCTCTGAGGTTTCACCAGCTCATCAAGCACACAGTTCCCTGCAGAATCCACCAGAGAAACTCGAGCCAGCTCATTTCCCTGTTCTGTCAGACACTGAGGCACAACAACACATCGATTAACTGATGGAACCAGGACGGAAACACTGGAATAACTTACGCAATTCTAACACCTGGAACACAAAAGTGATAATAGATATATAGGTGCTATAACGTGATGGAGCTCATTCTGTCAGGTAACAGGGAAGAAAATGTTATATTACAAATGTAGATGTTTTTTTTATGACACAATTCTGATGTTTTCATTTTGTTTATATTAACGTTTAAATTGCTAGGCATCTTTCCATTGAGGAAAAAAATTCACAGATTACTTCTGGCTAAGGCAGCAACACTGAAATGTTCACATAAGAGAACAAATAACTGTGACTAGCAGAAATTACAACAAGCAAGTGGCCTCTCTGGTCAAATCATCCTTAATTCTGTTTTTGTAATGGTCCATGCTAATATAATAATCGAGTTACTTTGCTTACATTGCTAAAAAAAATGTATTATTAACTGATTTTAAATAGATTACAAATGAAAATCTCACAAAGACAGTCCCTGTCTGTTGATATTTTATGACATATGGATTTGTTAAAAGACCAAATATCTATTATTTAAAACTGAAGTTATGATTATTCTTTTTTTTTTTTTTTACAATTAAATGAGATAATCAGACATAAAGTCGAGATTGTCTCACCATTTCACAGTCAAGTCCATAAAGAGGGCTGTTGTTAGTCACACAGTCAACACTTTCTGTGCACACAAATTCCTCATAGCCCGGCATCCCTGTGTTAAATGAACAAAAACAAAAGAGTTAAAAGAAGAGATGGAGAGCGAACCAACTGTAACACTACACAGACCAAATCAAAGACAAAACCTCTGACCCTAATTGTATTACAGTGTTTGATGGTATACTAAGCTTCCATCTGCATGAAGCAGCAATTCATCTTTCAAAGAAATCCTGAAAATTAAATTGAATTGTGTATACACAGGTTTAAAAAAAACCTCATTAATATATTTCTGCATGTGTAAAACGAGTAGTGATGGATTATTTTCACTTTGACTTTGCCAGATTTCAGGGGCGGCCAGTTTAGACATTTTCTAGAGATTTTCCGTCGTGTTGCCAGTGTGTGAAAACAAGATCAGAGAGACTCACCTTTGACAGGGAAATGTCGTCTGATCATCTCCTCCTGAGGGAGAGTATACGCTGTTAATCCTTTCCTCTGTGTCCCAAACTTAGTGATTACTGGGTGATTCCTCAGTGCTGCAGAAGAGCAAAAATAATACACACACATTTGAGAAGAAAAAAAAGCAAAACACAGGGAGAAAACACAAAACTAAAGATAAGATTAGAGAACACTTTTAGTTTAGAAACACAATTAAAACCCATTGCAAGGTTTTAGAGACAAGAATTAAAGGAGTAGGAAGATAAAAACAATTAAAACTGTTGCGCTTGTTATGACGAGTCAAATGATGTTAGTCATGTGTTTGTTTTTTTTAATCTTCTACATACGTTCAGAAAATACTCATACCACCTTTACAAATTAGAGAAGGGTGAAGACATTAGTCTGATGTTTTATAGACACTCTATTCATATAGATTCATAAGTTCTACACACATGGTAGGAACATATTAGCATATTGGGGCTCTCACCTCTGTGCAATCCACTGTTTAAACTGCTTCCATTGTGTCTTTGGTTAAGGGTTAGAACATCTGATTCAGGAAGTTTATTGCTGAAGATTGCCGAGACCAGGTTGGTAGACGATGGAGTGAAGGTGACCCTCTAACCAGATATAAAACAAAGACTAGTGTTAACCAAAAACAATGACACTGTGAATCTCATTTCTTCCATTTCCACTCTTAACTTACAGTGGAGTAGTTTTTCCGGAGGTGTTTCAGAGAAAGGTAGTGCTTGTAAAAGTGGCTCTGGGTCAGACCCTCCACTATGACCACATTTATAGCTTTAATCCTCCTCTGATGAAGGAGGCGGCACCAACTATGTGAGACACAGAGGGAGAAGACATAAGACTTCAAATAGATCGCTTAGGTTATTGTTAGAGCATGGGGACAGACATCACTTAAATTATATAGACTTAGTTGATGAGAGCTGATGAGATCTCACTTCCATAGTCATTACCTGGGTTGTTTAATGCCACCTGTTCTCCCCAGAGCGGCGTAATGCAGCAGCTCCATCAGCTCATTCACTGTAATTGGTTGTTGAAGGTGGCCGGGCAGCACAGAGATCCTCGGTGGGCGGGAGGAACTTTCACACTCCAGCAACTCCTCACCATCCTGCACAGTTTTTAATCTCTTGGCCTTCTCGTGTGCTGTCAGGTCAATGTTCTTTCTTTTCTGACTGTTGCATGTTTCTGATGATGAGGAAGGCTCCATATTCAGGCTGATTGTTCTACTACTAGGAGATAAAAAATAAATAAATAAATAAGATATGAATAATGACAAATGTCTGTCAAACAATGTCAAACGTCCAAAGGAAAGCCTGGTGTTCAGCAAATAAGTGATGACTATTGAAACTAAATTGTTTTCTAAAACTGACAATCGAAAATTAAAAGCTTAATAATGTAAGTGTTATATTCTTTCTCTTTGATCAGATATTTCTTGAAATAAAAGCAATGACTTAGAGATTTTTTTGCAGCTTTGTGCTAAGCCACAAGAAACAGAGAGAACATGATGAAGGAATTTGGAGGTAAGGGTTTCATACTTCCATTAAGGACAATATATCCCTAATGACGAAATAATGATGGTTTCATTTTGGTCTGAATAACACTACAACTACGTCACATGTTGTCATTCCCAAAAGCATTTCAGATGAAGTTTAGTTAGTACTCATAACGTGGGTATAAACAGACACAGGTTTATTATATTCACAGTCCATGTTTTATACATAGTAAGGTTTAAGTTAGTGATGTTATTAGGGAGCTCCAACCCACTGAGAATATATGTCAGCTTTAGAATAGAATAAAGTTACTTTATTGATCCCAAACTGGGAAATTGTGGCGTTACAGCAGCAGGTTATCCAACACACAATGAGTAAAAAAAACACAATGTTTGCAAATCTAAATTTAATATAATATTAAATACAAAGTAAATAAGTACTAAAAGATATCAGAAATAGGAATGTGAATATATACAACCAGGATTTCACTAAGCATTACTAGTTTTAAATAGGAAGATTAAATATGGAAGATTGAATGTAAATGTGCATGAAGCAATATTTCGTAACTTCTTCATGATGTTTGCTTTAATTCTGCAGAGTCCGAAAGTGATTTTCAGAAACTGAGCTGGTTAAGAGGTAAAAAAAAACCTCCATTCAAGACTTTATGTTAGTTTGATATTACACTTTTTGAAATTACTTGACAATCAAACTTGAGGGGAACGAATACGTTAAGTGTACGTGTGAGAACAGTAAGCACTACAAAATGGATAAATACCAGATGTTATTGGTCCTGCTTGTTCCAGAGTCATGCTTATATCTCTCTTGAAGAGGCTACAAACACATGGCTAACTCACGGAGCTGCTTCGTCTTCTTCGCGTGTTTTTTTTTATTTTGGGGTGGGGGTATCGCAAACAGCTTAAAGGTACATACCGCCACCTACTGCACAAGAGTGTGTAGTGCTGTAATATTTACAGTACGATACGTACATCCGGTTTGTACCTTTTCAAGTTAAGTGTTGAAGCGATCTTAGTATTGACTCACATTCAATGTATGTCGCTTGAATTGCATACATACTAAAGTAATTAATTGTAAAATTAAACTAATGTTAATCTTGTGTGTTTTTATATATATATTATTCATCCTGGGTTGAATATGGTCTGATTGTTAAAGCCACTATTTAGGTCTTTTGTTTCGAAGGTAAAAGAGGAAATACCGGAAGTGCAGATTGTTAAGTTCCGTTAACATTACCCACTTAGCTGGGATCGATGTTTCCGCGGTCAATTTATATGACTTGCAGCACGAAACAATCAATCCGAGACGGATGGATGAAGATTTAAAAAAAAAAACAGCGCGGTGTTTCTTCCTATTTTTCATTGGCAAAAGAATTGAATTGTTCCAATCCTTTTGTAAAGTTGGATTCCTGGGTTCATATAACGAGATGTCGACAAAGAAACTAGCCAAGTAAGTAGACGATTTACACCTTAACAGCTAACATGAACAAAAACAAATAACAAACACAAACAACGAATCATTGATGTAGTTTTGAATTCTGCGATAACAAGAAAGTTAATGCATCTGTTTCTGACCGAGGGGTTGAATATTGATTAAAAAAAAAACCTGAACTTTTGTGTGAATACAAATATTATGTGTCCCAGTTTGATGCTCCTTTGTGAATCTGTACATCAGGTTTGTTGTAGTAATATATATATATATATATATATATATATATATTTAACCTCATTTTAAATTCCCCTTCTCCACAGAGAACTGGGGTTATTGAGGCAGCGGAGCCAGTCCTCTTGTGGATCCAGGAAATCGACTGTAACAAGTAAGTCTGATCATTTAAATTGATAATATGCATACAGATAGTTCTTGTTTGTTTGATTGCAAAACTGTATTACGCTGTTGCCCTTGTGATCGGAAATAGTATTATTTTATTTTTCCAGATCAAACATTTTCCTACCTGATTGTCATTGATTTTGAGTCAACTTGCTGGAGAGAGAAAAACAACTACGGGCAGGAAATAAGTAAGTAAGCCTGCATATGTTATGTCTGTATCGTTTGTAATTGTTCACGTTTATAACTCAGTCTTTCTCTCATTCCTTACTTTCTACTGAACAGTTGAGTTTCCTGCTGTTCTGTTGAACACGTCCACCGGGGAGGTCGAGTCTGAGTTTCATACGTATGTTCAACCGCAAGAACACCCCTTTCTGTCCGAGTTCTGCACTGAGCTTACTGGGATCACTCAGGTATCCGTGTATAGCCATTTTATACACTAATACAAGCATACAAATGGACTCGCTGGTGCTGTGTCCTCCATTCATAATATCTGACAACTACATTTCTTTGTCTCACAGATGCAAGTTGAAGCGGGGATCCCCCTTCAGATCTGCCTCTCTCGATTTGGCCGCTGGTTGCAAAGTCTTAAACTTGAGAAGGGTGTGGTCTTTTCTGACCGACAACAGAAATCCTCTGCACCTTCACCCTCTCAAAAACTGTGTGCCTTTGTCACATGGTCAGGTAAAAGTCAGCTGTCCTTGTGCAAACATTTTGTTGTTACCTTCAGTTATCACAATCTTATGATGGTACAGTAGGTCTCTACCTCTGACACACATTAGTAGAAATAAACTAACTAACTACTGTCATTTTTGTTGTAAAATGTTTTGCTATTGGGGCAGAGAAGCTTTGCCTTGTTGGATTTGGAAATATTAAGGAGAGAATATGAAATAAACACATTGTTATTTTTTAACTTGCCTCCATTGGTGTTTCGTATCAGACTGGGATCTGGGAGTTTGTCTGCAGTACGAGTGTAAACGTAAGCAGCTCTACAAACCTGACATGCTCAACAGCTGGATCGACCTGAGAAGCACCTACAGAGTAAGCAGAGGCTCAGTCACCTTTTTACATCTTATGTTCTGTTTTATTACTTCATGCTTTCTCATTCATGCTTATCGCCGTAACAAATATTTTTTAAACGGTTTTTGTAGTCTACTCAATCCCCAGAGCTCTTAGTGAAGTTCATAAAGTCTATTTTAAATTTAAAGATATTAGTTTTAATTGCAAGAAACAAGGACAAATGTTTAAAGCTCCAGTAAGGAACCTTTCAGTTTACCACTCAGTTCACTACTTGTGAACAAAGTGGTATCTCTTGTCTCTTTGCTGATTTTGTCCTGTACACCTTTCAGTTGTGTCTTTCAAGAAAAGTTTCATCTAGCTTTTTTAAATTGTCAGATGTATGGCTCACCAAGAATCTTTTCCATCGAAATTGTAAATAAAAGTGTATTTCTGCGGCTTGCCATTAAACTACCTATTGGCAGTTTCTCTTGACATTTCAAACAACTATAATAAAAGTCAATTATTGTGGTAATGGTCGGGTTTGCTTTTGTAGCGCTTAAGGATATATCTGTATTTATTTCAGTCTATTTTATAGCCAGCTTAAAAGTCATCATAGGGGCTTTAGCTTGAAGAAATTATTGTTAATGACATTTGATGACTTAATATTCCCTGCACCTCCAGCACTTTCAATGTTGTTTATTAATGCTCTTTTTTTCTATGTGTCAGCTGTTTTATGATAGGAAACCTAAAGGCCTTAATGGGGCACTACAGGATCTCGGAATACAGTTTTCAGGAAGAGAACACTCTGGTAGGAAAAAACAAGTCCTTCTGACAAAGAATACGTTTAATGAAGAAACAAGACTACACTCGTGTGTTTTAATTGACTGATTTTCTCAGGTTTGGATGACTCCAGAAATACAGCTCAGTTGGCAGCGAGGATGATGAGGGATGGGTGTGTGATGAAGATTACCAGAAGTCTGGTGAAGGTGAGTGCCCGTCCAACACGGAATCTCAACTCCTAAATCCCTGGCCTCCCTTCTGAGTACCACAGATAATGACTACTATAATGAAAGTCTTCATGATTCAAGCTTTATTTGTTCAAAAGTGTGAATAAATATTTTATAAATAAAGATATATATCTCTGGACTTAAGCAGATCACAAATTAAAAAATGGATGCTATTTTATGAGTCACTGATTGAATCTCTCATCTTCTTCTTCTAGACCCAATTAAAGGTCAAACCTTTGTTTGGGAACACAACTGCAGACAACAAGAAAGAAGAGAACAGCAACAGAGAGGAAAACACGCACAACACAAACAAACCCTCGTCGTGTAAGATTCCTCAGAAATTATGTGACATAAAACAAGGTTTAGAAAAAGTTACAAAAGATAAAGACAGGAAGGAGAACACAAGTCCAGTCCGTCAAAGCCTGATCTCACCCAAAACACTGCTGAATGAGACGACTACGACAGTGTGGGGACGCAGCAGGAGGTCTATCGCAGCACAGGCTGTCCCTAATATTTCTTCTTCGGTTATGATAAATCCAACACACAATAAAAACAACATCAGCCTTGTTCTGTGCTCGACTACTATGGGCTGCCTTAAAAATCTGCCTCGGACAAACCAGCACTCAAGCACAGCAGCAACAGTTGGTGCTTGGGAAGAAGAGGAAGGCGCCGAACTTTTTGTGGAAACGGAGGACAGATGTGGTTCATATGATGATGTGGTTTTGGAGGGTGATGTTGAATTTATTAATGAAACAGATGAGGCTTTTGATACTGAGTATGTGTCAGGGTTTGACTGCGAAAATCATGTCTTTGAAGAAGAGCGTGATAACACACATTCAGCGGCAGATGTCAGATCCAACATTACTGTTTCCAATCACTTAAACAGAATCAGGCAGAATTCAGCAATCTCAGAATCCAATTTTGAGTTTGTTGTGCCAAAACCTTGGACTCCAAATCAAACAAGCACAAAACAGGACTTCAAACCTCTTTGCATTTACAAGAAAAGTCAAAAGCAACCAATACAAACTCAAAAACAAACACACCCTTTCCTTTCAGGCATAAACCCTTTATCCCAGAAAAGACCTCCACCCCTTATACTTCCTTTGCCAAACCCAAACCAGTCATCACCAAACCTGCGAAACACAAAGTAACCCCCAAATCTTCTTTTAATATCTACACTGACCAAGAAAAACGCTCCTCTTCCTCCATGTATGGCTCCAAGAATGTCCTCTCTTCTTTGTTAACGAACACACTTTCCTCACGTGCCAATCAGTCCTCAATTACTGGTCCATTAAAAGAAAGACAAAAAATCACATCCCCTCTTTGTGCGTGCGGGCGCCGTGCAAAACGTCAAGTTGTATCAAATGGAGGTCCAAACCAGGGTCGAGGGTTTTATTGCTGTCCGGTCCGCCGGTCAGGCAGCGGAGGCAGGATCCAGAAGGGATGTGAGTTCTTTAAGTGGGAATCAGCTCTGATGAAGAGCAGCTCAGTGTCCCCTGCTGCTTTCAGGTCCTCTGTCTCATTCTGTCAAATGAACTCGACACTGAGCTGTGGTCGACCTCAAAGGTCAATGGTAAGAAAGAGCTATTGAACTGAATGTCTATGTTCTACCTTGGTTGAATAAACCGTACAAAGTGATCAATGCACTATTTAACCATTTTTAACCTCTTTTTTCACTTCTAAATGTTTTGTAAACTGGTATAAACTAAAGAGCATGATCTTTGACTATGAACTGAAAACAGAAGTACATGAACACGAACTGTTATTTTATCGACATAAAGAATGCTTAATTGAATCTATTAAGTCCATCTTCAAATGTTTATTGGCTTTTAATGAAGTTAAACTACCTCTGATGAATTGATTTTTTTTTTTTTTGCAGCTATTCTTGTTTTGATATACTGTATAAATGAAATGTTCAAAGGGTAGGCATAATAAGCCTCGGCTTCATCCTACACCTTTCTGCCATTGTTTTTTTAGTTATTTTTTTTATTATTGTTCGTGTATGTTCTATGCTTTGTGGTCATGGACC